TTACTTGAAAATAATAGATTTGCAAAGGTTTTAGAGGCCATACGTGTGTTCTACAGCACTGAATCATGTCAGTTTAGCCCTCAATGCATCTTTGTGTGGGGGCATAAGTAAAAATTTACCCAAAAAACAAACAAGCAGGTCGCATGAAATTCAGGCTGTCTGTCTATCTTGTCTATAAACGCACATGATCTACACACATTCAGGGAGAGAAATGGAGGCTGTTGACGGTTTAATCCCTAAACTGTCTAAACTCACAAGTCTATCCCCATCTTTGAAAACTACAGCTGTGGATGGTTGGCGTGAAATCTATACTAAAACATAACAAAAAACGGTTGGTTTTTTTTACTTATGCACCCGTCTCATGTTCACGTTTTATATACTTCTTTTCTAGTAGTATTTTACATGCTGAACACGAATATGGTCTTCATTTTAGCCGCAAATCAATAGTTTATGGAGTTATTGATGTTTGAAAATAGTAAATTTAACAACATGGGGGGTTGCAGGGGGGCATGCCCTCCTGACCTAAAAAGAAACAGGGGGGTTTCAGGGGAGCATGCCCCCCTACATTTCACAATGATTTGATAATTTGGCATTTAGGATTGATATTTACTTGAAAACAATAGATTTGCAAGGGTTTTAGAGGCCACACGTGTGTTCTACAGCACTGAATCATGTCAGTTTAGCCCTCAATGCATCTTTGTGTGGGGGCATAAGTAAAAATTTACCCAAAAAACAAACAAGCAGGTCGCATGAAATTCAGGCTGTCTGTCTATCTTGTCTATAAACGCACATGATCTACACACATTCAGGGAGAGAAATGGAGGCTGTTGACGGTTTAATCCCTAAACTGTCTAAACTCACAAGTCTATCCCCATCTTTGAAAACTACAGCTGTGGATGGTTGGCGTGAAATCTATACTAAAACATAACAAAAAACGGTTGGTTTTTTTTACTTATGCACCCGTCTCATGTTCACGTTTTATATACTTCTTTTCTAGTAGTATTTTACATGCTGAACACGAATATGGTCTTCATTTTAGCCGCAAATCAATAGTTTATGGAGTTATTGATGTTTGAAAATAGTAAATTTAACAACATGGGGGGTTGCAGGGGGGCATGCCCTCCTGACCTAAAAAGAAACAGGGGGGTTTCAGGGGAGCATGCCCCCCTACATTTCACAATGATTTGATAATTTGGCATTTAGGATTGATATTTACTTGAAAATAATAGATTTGCAAAGGTTTTAGAGGCCATACGTGTGTTCTACAGCACTGAATCATGTCAGTTTAGCCCTCAAATCAATGCATCTTTGTGTGGGGGCATAAGTAAAAATTTACCCAAAAAACAAACAAGCAGGTCGCGTGAAATTCAGGCTGTCTGTCTATCTTGTCTATAAACGCACATGATCTACACACATTCAGGGAGAGAAATGGAGGCTGTTGACGGTTTAATCCCTAAACTGTCTAAACTCACAAGTCTATCCCCATCTTTGAAAACTACAGCTGTGGATGGTTGGCGTGAAATCTATACTAAAACATAACAAAAAACGGTTGGTTTTTTTTACTTATGCACCCGTCTCATGTTCACGTTTTATATACTTCTTTTCTAGTAGTATTTTACATGCTGAACACGAATATGGTCTTCATTTTAGCCGCAAATCAATAGTTTATGGAGTTATTGATGTTTGAAAATAGTAAATTTAACAACATGGGGGGTTGCAGGGGGGCATGCCCTCCTGACCTAAAAAGAAACAGGGGGGTTTCAGGGGAGCATGCCCCCCTACATTTCACAATGATTTGATAATTTGGCATTTAGGATTGATATTTACTTGAAAACAATAGATTTGCAAGGGTTTTAGAGGCCACACGTGTGTTCTACAGCACTGAATCATGTCAGTTTAGCCCTCAAATCAATGCATCTTTGTGTGGGGGCATTAGTAAAAATTTACATTAAAAAAAAACAAGCAGGTCGCGTGAAATCCAGGCTGTCTGTCTGTCTGTCTTGTCTATAAACGCACATGATCTACACACATTCAGGGAGAGAAAT